GACGAGGCACGCCTCTTCGCCGCCGCGTGCAGGCGCCGAGCGAGGCAGCTGGCGCGATGGCTGGGGGACCTCCACGTGCACCTGCAGGAAACAGAAGTCAGCGATTCCGTGGGCCTGGGTGCAGACGCACGGGAGGACGAGGAGGAGCACGATGGTGGCCAGCACGGCGCCGAAGGCGGCCCAGCGACCAGCGGACGGCCCCCACAATGTCACGGAATCGGCGCGGCCGTGCCCTTCCAGGCGATGCCCGGCGCACCGGAGGAGCAGGCCGGAGGGGCGGCCGACAGAGGCGCGGAGGTTCGCCACCCCCCTGCAGCGCCATGGACGCTGAGGGGCACAGCATTTTGGCAAGGCCGTGCGACGACGAGGACGCGATGCTCTTCTGCATGCAGTGCGGCGCCAACGCGCAGGGGCCGCGGAAAGGCCGTGGCAGCCTGCTGGGTCCGTGCCACGGCCCCGAGGCCGCTGGACTAGCAGAGGCGCGCCGGCGGCTGCGAGGCGGCCTGCACCCGCACCCCCGGAGGCAGAAACAGAGGTTCGGGCTGCCTCGAGCTCTCACAGACGCCGAGCGGAGGGATTTGGCGACCAGTGCTGGCGCCCGACGCTGGCGAGGAAGAGCAGGGAACTCCGGTCAGGCGGGGTTACGGGCTCAGCTGGCGGCGTCTTCACATCTTCGACGTGGCGCGGCTGCACGGGTTCCCCAGCCCAGCGGAGGCAATGGCTGGGGAGCGCGCGGCGGCGCTAGACAGCGAGGGCTCTGAGAGCGACGGTATGGCGTGAAGGCGGTGTGCTGCATGTACCTCCCGCCCTGAGCCGTTGAGGCCGCCAGGCCTCGGCGGCTGTGCGGGGCCGCCGCAGCGGCCCAGGTGGGCTAGACTAGCCCGCTCTCTACCCAACCCAACCCAACGTCCTCCTCGTTCTCCTCCTCATCTTCCTCCGCCTCCTCCTCCACCTCCTCCTCGTTCAACTGGTCCTCCTCCTCCTCCTCTTCCTCCTCCTCCTTCTCCTCCTCCTCCGCCTCCTCTTCCTCCGCCTCCTCCTCCTCCTGACGCCCTGGAGGTCCGAGGTTCGAGCATCGAAGGTGTTCAAAAAATCTCTCAAGTGTTCTTTGCCTCTGGGGGGTTTCTCGGCGACACGGCTGGATTCACCTCGACATTCTGATCCGCACGCATTCCAGACCAGGTCAATGGGGAGACGTTTCTGGTTGTGGCAGTCCTCGCGCCGTAACAAAAAAGACGGGCGGCCTGGTCGCTGCTGGCCCCGGGGACAATCAGGAAGCAACTACAGGATGAGAGAACTGTCCCCTTGCGTCCAGGACGTGGTTCAGACCTCTTGGGAGTCAAGTTGTAGATACCAGACAATCGACATAAAAAGCACGAAGCCAAGTCTGGACCTGATGGAGGCATCAGATAATATATTTGTGCGGCATCCCCAGCACCTTCACTGGGCGTCGGGACCGTTAAAACACAACTCGGGATGGAAAGCTGGACCTGGGGAAAGGGTGGGGACCTCTGAAGACCCCTCATTGAACAAGTCAAAACATCAGGCGTATTGGTCATCCACCTCCTACGTACTCCACATCCCCCATCATACTCCACATCCCCCTCTGCGGCAGCTGCGAAGCCCTCCTCCACATTAACATCCTCCACGTCATCCTCATGATCATCATGATGATCCTCCCCTGATCCGCATAGGCAGCTTCAGCGTCGTCGTCAACAAGGGCATCATCACCATCACCATCGCCATCACCATCACCATCATCATCATCATCATCATCATCATCATCATCATCATCATCATCATCATCATCATCATCATCATCAGCATCATCATCATCATCATCATCATCATCATCATCACCAGCAACATCATCATCATCACCATCAGCAGCATCATCATCACCATCATCACCAACATCCACATACGTATCGTCATCATCATGCTTAGTAACATGACCGTCACCAGAATCGAGATGTTCCTCCTCATCATCATCATCATCATAATCAGAATCATAATCAACATCGTCATCACCATCATCGTCGACGACGTCGCCGTCATCATCAACGACATCATCATCATCATCATCATCATCATCATCATCATCATCATCATCATCATCATCATCATCATCATAATCACCACCACCATCATCATCATCAGCAGCATCAGCATCATCATCATCATGTTCATCACCATCACCATCATCATCAGCATCAGCATATTCATGCTAATCATCATCATCATCATCATCAACATCATCAGTATGATCATTATCCTCATCATCACCAGCAGCATCATCATCAGAATCAGCATCAGCATCGTCACCAGCATCATCATCATCACCAGCATGTTTCATCATCATCGGCAGCATCATCATCAACATCATCATTCTCATAGTCATCCGGGTCCGCAGCCGCACCCGCATCCGCATCCTCATCATCATCATCATCATCATCATCATCATCATCATCATCATAATCTTGACAGCCATTATCATCGTCATATACTACGACTACTGCTACCACTACTACTACTACTACTACTACTACTACTACTACTACTACTACTAAAAATTTAAAAAAAGACTAATAATAATACGAATACTACTACGACTACAACAACAACTACTACTATTTTTTATTATTATTACTACTACTACTACGACGACTACGACTACGACTACGACTACGACTACGACTACGACTACGACTACGACGACTACAACGACTACAACGACTACTACTACTACTACTACTACTACTACTACTACGACGACGACGACGGACGACGACGACGAACGACGACGACGCACGACTACTAACTACTTACTCACTACTACTACTTACGACTACGACTACGGACTAGACTACGACTACGACCTAGACTACTACGACGACTACTACTTATACTAATACTACTACTACGACAAAGGCGACCGACGGACGACGAACTACTTCTACGGCTTCTAATAGTGCTACTTACACTACTACTACTACTATACTACTATATATACTACCACACCACTACTACCACTATACCACTCGATTACTTACTACTTACGAATACTAGACTACTACTACGACGACGACGACGACGACGACGACGACTACTACTACTACTACTACTACTACTTCTACTACTACTACTACTACTACTACTACTACTACTACTACTACTACTACTACTACTACGACTACTACTACTACGACTACTACTACGATTACTACGACTACGGCTACTAGACTTCTACTACGTATACTACTTCTACTGCCAGTGTAGTGCTACTACGACTACCTACCACTAAGACCGCTTCGACTACGCCTACGACTGCGACTACGACTGCTCATTATACTGCTACAGTTCACCCTCCTCTTCACCATCCTCCCCACTCGTCCTCCATACTCTTCCTCCTCCCCAACACTAATGATCCTCCCCCTGCCAAAACTTCGTCCTCCTTGTCATGTTTTTGTTCGTCCTCCTCCTCCTCGGCCTCCTCTTCCGCCCTCCGCCTCCTCATCGTCCTAATCCTGCTCGCCCCTCCCCAGCTTCCAGCTGCTGCCCAGACGGCCATTGCTGTGTCCCCCCCATACGTGCCACTCCGACGCCAAAATTCCTCGTCCTCCTCCTCCTCCTCCTCCTCCTCCACCAGCACCCACCTCCTTCTCCGCCTCCTCCGCCTCCTCCTCCTTCCCCCCCTCCTCCTCTCCCTCCTTGCCTCCTCACCATTCCTCGGGGCCCTCTCCCATCCTCCTCCTCCTCCTCCTCCGCCTCCTCCTCCTTCCTCCTCCCTCCTCCCTCCTCCTTCCTCTTCCTCCTTCCCTCCCTCGCCCCCCTTCCCCCCATGCCCCTCCCCCCTCCTCGAGGCGAGGGGGCAGCGGGCACACACCCCACGACCAAAATGGGTTCGTCTACCCCTGGCCGCCCTCGGGGGACTCCCGCGCCGCGCGGTCGCAGAGGACCATCGCGAGCTCGCCGCCGCCGCCGGCCGGCCCCAGCGACTGCCAGCGCGCCACCGCCAGCCAGTCCTGCAGGGGACAGTCCATCGGCGGCCCTCGGCGGCCCTCGGCGGCCCTCGGCGGCCCTCGGCGGCCTTCGGCGGCCGTCGGTGGCCGTCGGCAGCCGACGGCAGCGGCGCGGGGCTGCACGGATGGAGGGCAGGATGTGTCTCTCGCCTGAGCGCCTCGAGCATTTGTCGCAAGAGCTGCCAACAGCTACAAGGAAGGACTGCGAGTCTCTTCAGCGCGCAGCTCTCGCCTCGGCGCCGCGCACACTCGTCTTCACATGACAGGTCCCCAGCAGCTGCAAGGATGGGCGGCGGGCCGATCTCAACATTGTGGCTCCCAGCCTCAACGCCGCGAGAATTCGCCCGAGGTGCTTCAGCTACAGGAGCGGAGGGAGGCGCCCCTTCAAAACGGGGCTCTCGCTTGAGGTTCGTGCTGTTGAAGCTGCAGCGCATGCAGCAGGTACGCGGGATGAGGGCGACCCCTCATCAAAATGAAGCTACCACTTGAGACGATGCGCATGACCAGACATAAAGTATGTGGATGACATGCACATGGATGGAAAGCGGTTCCCACTCAACACGAGGCTCCCGCGTGAGCGGCAGGCCCATCGAGCGCTCGTCCTTCAAAGGAGCCCCTCCCGCAGTGGAGAGAGACGCCCGCATGGGCTCGAGGAAGAGGCCTGGGACGGGGGGGGCGCACTGGGGATCATCATTGGCGCATCCTGCGTGTGCTGTTCTGGTCCTCCTCTTCCTTCTCATCATCGTCATCCTCCTCCTCTACCTCTTCCGCCTCGTCCTCTTCCTCCTCCTCCTTCTCCTCCTCCTCCTCCTCCTCCTGTTCGTCCTCCTCATCCTCCTCCTCGCATGTGCTACTTCTCCCTACCTCGCACCACCCTTCTGCTCTTGCCAGTTCCCACAGCGGTCAGTGTTTCTCTGTGTTTGTCCTCCAGTCTTGATGCCCAACGTAAATAAACATCGAATGGTACGTCTGGAGATG